ATTTTGAAACACTCTGTCCTCGATTGCTGACCTACCTCTACAAAATCATTCGGTTGCAATGGCCCAACATTTCATAGGTACCTCTTTCCCTTAGTAGCATGTATTTCTACCTCTTTAGCTGAATAATATTGTTGGCGGGGAATGATTACTAGGGATATTATAGACCAAGCCGATTACATCACTAGCCCTTAAGTCGAACTACATACTTATTTATGTTATAAAAGTCTTTGTATAAGATAATTCCCTTGTAATTGTGTTCATTGCTGTATAATTGCATAATAATAATACTATTATTATTATTATTAATTTAGCCAGAGAAATAATTTCTAATACTAAAGTCTTAAAGTAATAGGTTATAAGACTATCCGCTTTATTGAAAGCTCTACCGCACTTGAAATTTGAAACCACGACCATTGAGTTGTTAGGCGGGCTTCTTTGCATGTAGCCACTCAGGCGGTTCAATAATAGTATATTATAAATGAACTAATATGAAATGACATGAAATTAGGTTATAATGCAAATTTAACGTAAAAGATTAAATAGAATAAAATTGTGGTAGCGCAGATCAACTTCTGCAACAACTTACCATACAAAAGGCCTCATCTTTATATGACAAAAAAAGCCTTATTCTTATTATCGTGATAAATTTTGATAAAATTAGGGCGCCTCATTTCACATATTAGGCCCTCTCCTATATATGGACTGCCGCGCAAAGTATGCTTCTACGTAGAACGAAGATATAATTAATGGTATTATATGGTACGAAAATAAGAATTTTAGCAGTAGCACAGCAGAGTAGCGTACCTAATGGTCGGGCTTGTTCGATTATGATGCTTTTACTGGTTTCTTCTCTTACTTTATTGCTTAACTCTAATTCCAGGTATTTAAAGTCACAATTAATTATAAATTGATTCCATTTATCTTTTCGCACTTCTGTCTACCTATCTATCTATCTATCTATCTACCTATCCATCCAGCCATCCAACCAGCCATTCATCCATCCATCCATCCATCCATCTATTTATTCATCGATCAATTATCACGTCTACCCCATTAAGAGAATGAGAAAAAAAAAATTAAATTATTATGTCTGTGCAATCTGAGCACTGTACTGTGATGACTCTTACATCTAATTACGATGTTTTTAAGCATTTACAAAAAGAACATATCGACATAGATGTTCACTTAAATCAATTTGAGTACATATGTATTTCTGGACATTTGCACATATTGCAATAATAATAATAATAAGAACAACAAAACAATAACAAAAACAATAATATAGACAAGTGTCATTTTCATATTTTCAATTAATGAAAACGTAACGTGAGTAAAATACTTATTGCAAATAAGATATATGTGTCTGCGTGCGTACGTACGTATATGCTTGTGCGCTTTTTACAGTGTTTGTAAGAATGTGTAGAAACCGCAAAAATCTAAAAATAAGCACAGAACTTTGCATACATGCAACAAATATTGTAATTTTTTTCTCTTTTTTTTATGACCGACCATTTGTAGACAAAGGTATAATTAATTAGTAGCAACAATTACAATAAATAGCACGGAGATAAGTACAAGTAACAAAAGGTTTCCATATTCGTCTAAAAGTGTAAATTGATTGATTGTCTCCTTTACAAAAATTAAGCCGATAAGAACGATTACGCAGATTGTTTAGATCCATCATAAACCCATGTGTAGATTTGTGGCAGTAATCTTATAAACTCAGCTTATTAAAATTCTTTTACAATGTAGTTTTCTTCTTCTTTTCCCAGAAAAAATTGAGTGTAACTTTAGTTTCTATATCCTACAAAATATGCCAGTCGATTCAGTATCATGTTCGGACACGATCTAAGGGTGCCTACTTATCTGTCCGTCCGTTCGAATATTCTTGCTTAGACTTTAGAGGTCGCAATTATTGAGATATTTTGATGAAATACCGACATTACCTCAGACATTTGTGCTTTCTACGTGATAGCTAGAGCCATCTATGGGTTGTTTACTGCATTTGCAATCTTTTTTTTATTATTCAGTAATCATTTGCGCTTCAGATGTCGTATCGTTCTACTACTACTTTTTAGTTTAATTAGAGAAACTAACGTTTTTAGCGGTTCACAATTTTTTGATGCAGGATACTACTTAGTCATACTTATATTATGAAAACTTCGTCCGGACAGCTTATAGTGTTGTATAAGCCTAAAACGTAGTTAGTACTTTTGCAAGAAGAAATAAAGTTGAATAAATGTTTAGGGGCAAAGTAAGAGCCATGTCTTTGCAAAATTCGTTGTAGTCGTTAAATGTGATCAAGTTTTTGTTTTCAACGGCATCGAAGCATCTTAGTTCCGGTCAGTTCGATTATAACATTTCTCTCACATGCGTCATTTAAATTTTTGTGAGTTTGCGTTAGGCTCTTTATCTTTTCAAATTAATTAGAAAAAGCTGGTTTCATACGTTGAAACGTACATTGTTGCTTTCATTTTCGGAACTTTCAGCCATATTTCAGCTTTCGCGTAATGCACGGTATATGAGACCAAAGAGGCAAAGAAAGAACATAGCAGATGCTTTTGTACTCCCTGCAATACGTGGATGCTAATGCAAATAAATTTATAAACTCGCACATTAGAATTCATATTTGTTTAACAATGTTATTTATAGGTAAAATATTCTAATATTTCCATAATTACGTAAATATGTTTTGTTTTTTATTTTTATAACCTACACCACTGGCGGCACAAGAGCTCAAGTAGTTTGTGGGGAGTTGATGGTAGAAAGCGAATTGGACCCAACTTTTCTGCCCATCCAGCGGCTGATTCACAATCACTTTCTGAGTCGGTTTAGGCTTGTCTCTCCTACTTGTTTTCTTGTGTCCCACCTTCAGGGTGCTTGATGAGGGCGAACACCCGTATGGACCGCATCTCTTTTTCGGTCACTTCCTGTTTAAAGCTTCATTTTGGAAAGGTCGTTATATATACATATGTGTAGGTATGTAAGGTAGTTAATGGTGGACCGTGGCTAACGTTTTATACTTTTCTACAATATTTAAGAAGAAATAATATGTCTCCCTGAGAAATGATTGAGATATTTGTTGTTAGGTGTTATGAAACTTTGACAACCCACCATTTTCGCCTTAATGATGTCACTAACAAATTGTCGCTAATCCTTCAAGTGAATGATTTATATAATGCTATATACGAGACAATGCTCTTGACGAAAAATCTGTCTAATAGAGGGATGGATTTTGTTTATGAACAACATGATGTGAGTGTAGCGCTATAAATGTGGTAAAATATGAAAAATATTACTAAATTAAAATATTAGCATAAAAACCTGTTGCATGTTTTGTATGAAAGACATGTCTCTAAGTCTGATTAGTGTAAACTTAATAAATGTGTATTTGTTTCTTTTTTTTTTGTATTGCTTTGTTCCTGCAATTATATTAACTACTGATTGCCGCTATAGAACCACCCACTTTACTTTTGTAGTACATAGCTTTTAACATTGCAATTAAACTGACACGTTTGTGCTCATATATTATATATAGTTTATACACGTATATATATGGCAGACATTAAGCCTTGAGGATTAATAACACACGTATGTGGTTATAGTTGACTACTATATACATAAAGCTGTGTATATACTTCCTAAGTATCTAAAACTTATTACCTGATACAGAAACATCGACGCCCCCACCCTGTTATAATGTGATTTAATTAAATCTTTGATTTATAGTGTCACATAATTATGATTTCTTTTCTGGTTAAATGCAAGAAAGAAAGGGAAGGAGACGGAAACAGAAACCCTTGTGATGATGTGTAGAGTCTGGGTTTTAAACGACAGATAACTAACGGCGTGTCTTATCTACCAGTCTCACAGTCCGTTAGTGTTGTTCTCTTGCCCGTTAATCTACACCTATGTATTGGTTGGTCCGTTACCACATTATCTACGATTACATTCCTACGCGCACACGCATACACAATTATACTTTATCGTCGCGAAACCTATTATATATTTAGTTCATGATTTTTGCCATTTCCTTTTTTTTTCTATTAATACTTCTTAAAATTAATGTAACTTATTTCTTACTTGCTGTATTGCTTTCCGTTGTTAATTGACGCAATCTTATGGTTCCTTGCATTTTATAAATCCTTTCCCCATATTTTCTTTCGGGGTAAGCCACTTTATTGACAATATATGCAGGTTCTTCTTCCTAACTATATATCCCAGTTTTTAGAAAGTCACTGATTTTAGTTATAATGTACTTTTTTTGGATTTAAGTTTCAACATAAGAAATTTGTAATAATACGTCAATAGCAGGAGTAGGAGTAAGTTTTTATTGCTATTTTTTGTAAAATCTTTTTGTTTAATTGGATTTGAGTGTTAATTTTCAGTTTCTATGATGCTTTAAGTTTTAATATCGAATAGTGTGTTTTCACTTGGGGTTGAGTTTTAATGTCAACTTTTCACAAACTTTCCTTTTACTCTTGTTCATTCTGATGTTTAAAATATAAAAAAAATATATATGTAAAATCATTTTATTTGCAGCACATTCATTTCACTAACTTATACAAGTTTATTTACAAGTTACTTAATATATAAAAATTTACTTTAATTTTTGATAATTATTTTGTCAATTTTACATTAAGCAACACTCTGAACACTCTGACTGGTCTCGATGATCTCCTTTTTCTTTCTCCTCTTGAAAATAATTTTATTGCCAAAACCTACCCTTATGCTATACAGATGGACCACGGACTTTGTTCCTTTCGATCGACGGAAATTCTCTACACTTATACATGCGGACGTTACACCCTATAATTTTAATAGTTAATTGTTGTTCAATGCAATAAAACCATTCAATTAAAATTTACATCAAATTAAAGGCAACAAAAAGACTTTTAAACTTAAAAATAGCTAACAAGTTAGTAAAATTTTATTGTGCCAAACCAATGATTAATTATTTAATTTTCTTTGTTTTTCTTTTTATTTCCCTTGTTTTATAGAAAAAAAAGGAATTGACTAAAAGAAAACAATGTCAACAGCGGAGTTTACGAATTAATTGATAGCTAGCACTTCAACATTTTTATAACCCCTTTTATGGTAATATGACTAAGGTAAACTAATTCTATCATTAAGTTTTGTAGCGTAGAATAAAAACGCGGACGACGATGACAGATTTATAGGACATTTTCGATCAACGCGAAATTTTCATATAAACGAACTTCTTTGTCTCTCTTGGTATCAACTTTTCTGTGTATTTCTTCCAATATCCCTCTGCCTCTTCCCCAGTTGGGCTTCCATTCGTACGTGATTTCATATAGATGCATCCTACTCATGATATCTCTGAGCAATCTGTTTTCGCTTTAACTGCTCACGTTGTTTGATTGACCCCCTCTTCCCTTACCTACCGTTGGTTCGCCAAACCGACATCTCTAAGCCATTGCGCATTTTATTATGCAAGTTTTCTGGTTTTTCTACCTTTACGCTTATCAGACCCTTCCTAAATAAAGAGTTTCTCGGTTCGTTTGCGTGTCCTTCGCCTAATTTTCATTCATCTTTACTTATCTTGGACTATGAGTGCGCTTGTCCCACTTAGCATTTTTGTGTTCGTTAGTCTACGTATTTCTATTTCTATTTCGTAATTGGTTTCTCTCCCTATCAACATATCCTTCTACCTGTCTCTCCTGAGACTTAATCAACTGCACCTCTGTCTTTTCATCCATCTGTCGCATAGTCAAATAGGTAAGCGTTGCGGCTACCGCGGTTTCGAATTCTAGATTTGAACGTACATGGCCGTAGCTGCAGTAAGCGCTCAGTCGACAAAGACATTACGCTGACCATTGGGGCAAACACCCACTAGGCCGCAGCAACTCCCTATCTCTTTCTCTTTCTGCACACTTATATTCTCATACAACCTTTAGCAAACACCCATTCGATACTTAATGCAAATATTTTTTAAAGCTAGAGCAAAAACCCAATTAGCTGACAACTTCCATTAAAAATAAGAAATTCCGCTATTTGCCTAGAGTGATAGGTATCCAGTATTCGTTATTTAACCCTAATATACGCTTTTCTTTGATTTTTTTCTTTTTAGATATAAACTAACAAATTATTTTGAATAAATTACTTCAGAAAAACCTAAAAAAAAAATTACCTTTCATCAGTTAAGTGTATATTCAATCAGCCAGTTTAGACATACACAGATACATGTACGCTCGAATGCATGATATATATATCCCGACAGTGGCTTATTTACATGTATTGTGTAGCGATTAAGGAAAACGACAATAATCTGGGTTTATGACTAAAATTTCAATTTTTTTTTTAAATGTTCGATAAACAATTTGCATAAATTAGCAACGTGAGTAGTGCTTACATTGATACATTCGTACATATACGCATAATAATGTTGATAATAAAGTAAATACTGAAAAATGTATTGATTGTTATGCATAGACATACTTTTGGGCATAAATTGTAGCGATTACCTATGCGTGGTTCTGCTATGCAAATAACCGTAATTTTGTGATTTATATCTGGTCATAAATAAGAGAGTGCGTTGTCCAAAGGTATTTTTTTTTTTTGTTCTTATTAGAAAATTCACACTATTTTATTGACAAACATTAGTCGAATATTGATCATCGTCTATAGGCTAAGATTTTTTAAAATCATTTTGAAAGGGTATTGAAAGCTTAATGCTTCATCCACTTTATTTGTAGCTTGTCACGGCCGTAAAACATTAATGTTTCATTACCCATACCTAAAAGATAAAAAAGATTTTATTTTGATAAGCTATGCTCTTATATTACCATATTAGACTGGAAAGTGGTATGAAAAATTCATTGAGCTGAAGCCGCGACTAAACATTAATAAAGTTTCTCGTATTCGTTTTCTACAGTTTCCTTATCAACTTTTGATTGACTGATCCTAGTGAGCATTTCAAAAAAGAGACTTGTCTTCCGGACTAAATAATTAGCGACTAATACCAGTAGTGTTTGTGTTGTAATTTTCTTTGAGCTTGGGCCAATTTCTATGGTCTAAAAGGAGTTCAGAAGCAAGCTTCGGATAACTTAACGTAACAAGTTGAACGAATTGGCCAAACCGGTTTTTGAACTGACTTGTGTGGTAGCCTTTCTATTCTAAAAAGTTGAACGAATTCAGGAAAATGGTCATTGTTCGTTCGTTTGCAGTGACCTGCCTTGAAGTCTTTTTTGTTTATCGATTACTGACGTTCGCAGACACCAGTGAAATTTCTTATTGCCTCTTAACAAATGATCTCAAATTAAGTAATACCGCTGAGAAATTCATTTCTTAACAAAAGCAAAGAAAGGAAATCCGTTTAGGGCTCTCAACAAGTTCGAAATGTTAATAAAAAGATTTGCGTTTCCAACGTATGGCGTTTAGCATAACTCGTTTATATCCGCACTTTCTACTTTCTAGAACCAACCTATAGGCATTATTATAGTTAATCGTATTTCGTATCTAGCAACTGACAAGTGACACAGGTGACACATTAAGACATTTGTAGCCGACAGCAGTAATGTAATCACCCGTATGAAATATACACATATATATATATACATACAGCATAAGTGTGAGAGTGGTAATCAACATAACTATCTTCACCTACTTCCTATCACTCGTCCGCCTGTACCATATTTAATGTTTTTTTTTATATATTTAATATATATCATTATTGGCTTTTTTCATTTCAGGCACATTATTACGACGATTCGAAAGGAAAATGTTTATAAAAATTTGCGCAAATACGAAACGTCCACGGATTACGACTAGCATTAGTAATTCTAATAATATAAATATGCCAACATTAGCGGACGCACAAACAGCAACAACGACAACAACAGCAGCAGTAGGAACAATGCGAACAATGTCAACAATAACAGTACCAAAAGCGGCAGAAAGATCGTCAACGTCATCAGTACCATTAACGCTATTCACGTCATCAACAACGACGCTGATGTCGGCATTATCAACACCTTCAATAACTCATCCAACAACAAATGAATTCAAACCAAGAAAATCGATCGCTGATCAAACAGTGTTCGTACGATGTCAAAAGTTGAAGAAAAGCAAACAACAGCAAAAACAACACAATTTGTTAACTTTGTTACGATTGAGGACAGTGCTCATAATGATAGTAATGATGATGAAAAATTTAACATCAATAATAATGACGACAATATTAACGAATAAAAAACCAACCAGTCATAGACAAACTGTTAGTGGTTTAAATGAAATAATCATCGATGGCTGTAATAATGATGACGATGCAACGGCATTCACAGCTGCAACTGTTGAAACTGTCGCTGCCTCTAGTAGTAGTGTTGAAGCTGTTGCAAATATTTATAATAGTAATAGAGGGTACGTGTTATTGTCATACCTTGTGGTATTACTAGTTGTCTGCATTGTCAACACTTCATCGGTTGAGGCTGCTGAAAGCTTACTTGGTGGTAAGTATATGAATTGCAAATGTTAAACATTTTGAAAAGTAACAAAAAAAAAAGCTATATAAAAAAGAAAAAATGAGCAAAAATATTGTCGATACATATACGATACTTATACAATAAACACATGCATACTCTATAGCCTGTTAAGCAAATATGTGCACAGAGTTTATTAAATATAGTACTCAAGCTGAACTAAGTTGTTTAGACATTAGACAGACACGGTGTCTATGCCGTAGATATAGATAACGATATGGATGTGTTTCGTAGCTTTCAAGCACCTATAAAAAACAACCGATACCAATAAAGACAGCAACAACAACAGCAACAATAACAACAATTATAACAACAAACTGAAAGCTACCACCGCTAGCAACATCATCATCATCATTAATCTTAAAAAATTATTTTGGCTTATGTGCTTAAATATTCATATATGTGCACACACGAACACAAAACACACACATATTGTATGTATATATGTATATACACAAGAATGTATGTATGTATATATATACTATCATATAATATGTTGCATACCGTTTAATATATGTTTGCGTTGCGCGTGCGTTTGTGGTTGCGTGTGTCTAACGCTAAAGTAAACATTTCTGTTAACCAGCGCAAAATAAATTATTATTACGCCGTTTTCCTTTCTCACTTTGCTATTTTTTTTTTCACTTTTTGCTTAATAAATCTGTGTCTTATTTGCCGCCATACAAAGTTTTCAAGGTAAATAACTTTAGATAGCGTACATATTTATATATGTATATATATCTAGTCTATATATAAACGAGAAAGCATATTTATACTCTTATACCATGCCGTAGTATATCGTCGCCATCATCATCGCTATCACTGTGTCTAATAGACTTATATTTTAGATATTAATTTACCCGACAAATCAACAGACACCGTAAAATCAATACATTTTTTTATTGGTTTTTACTGTTTTATCTTTGCGGTCTCTTACATATACATACATATTATGGATATGGATATTAAAAATCAATCCAACTACCAGAGATGTTTACGTGCGCAGCGTGTGCCGCGTAGTTTGGCAACATATTTCCAGGAGTATATTAACTCACAACAGTGATATATTTTATAATAATTCGAATTATGCTTTAGATATTGGCATTCCGCAAAAATCATACGAACGGTGCGGAGGTATGTAAGATCCGCAAAGGCTTAAGACGAACACAAGCTTGTCCGTCCATCGGCTTGCTTATCCGTCTGATATCTGTCCATACATTTTCCTGTTCAACCTTTCGAAATTTTATACACTACACTACACTACACCAGCGGAAACGCTATTAATTTATTAAATTATTATTATTAGAGGATTGATGATGATTCGTCTTTTCACACGTCATGATTCGCCTACAGCAACTAAGCAAACTTTCGCTTTATCAACCTCATTTATGACATTGTGTAAAAAAAATTTTTTTTTCAAATATTAATTAATTTACATAAAGACATGCTTCATTTAAAATATTTTGTAAAAAAATGCTCGAAAATTTTTATTTTAGCTATATTTTGAGGTAAATCGCTTCGAGACCTCATTTAACATAATCCTGTTAACGGCTGAACAGCTTTTTTAAAAAATTTTTGCTTCGCGTCTTTGCTAGTACTATTTAAATATAACTTCACACCCTTATTTATTTCTTAAAAATTTCATTATTTTGCATGTCCGTCATAAAAGATTAGAAAATAAGCTTTTTCTTCATATAAAGGCTTACTATTCATGATAACCTCTATATTTCTTGACCTACCTGATCCAAATTCCCTAACGTTAACTTTTTTACTAAATTGTTACCAAGGGCCAACTTTCATCATCAAATATTAAAAATTGAATCAGTTTCTGCAGGGCTTATTATTCATGAGAAATCCTACATTGAAAGGGGTTCAAGAAATAGAAACATGTTGTTCATGTTTCGTTGCTCAATTTTACAACATTAACTATTAGGCCTTTTTGGAAAATGAAAGTTTAAAACTTCTTTAGAATCCCTACATTCAGTGGTATCCAGAAAATAGAACTACTTGGTCTAAATTCGGTAAGGTTTATTTCTTCGTCAGTTTATTATTATGCGCCAATTTGCATCGTCAAGTATTGAAAATTAGACCAATTTACGATATAGGCGTTCAGTTTTGCTGTTATAGGAGAGGGTCTCTGCCAAAGTTTTTCGTTGCAATTTAAAACAACCAAATACTATTCTTCAGCGGCTTTTATCAAGAACTTTTGAATATTACAATTGTTTTCTTGAACGTTTAGAATAATCAATTGATAGGTCACACCTCCTTTATACTCACGTCGATTCATTGTATGCGTAACGATTTAAATGTGATATATTCTGACTATACTTGCAAAATATGTCTATTCAAATTTCACATATCATAACTAACACAAAAAAAAAAAAATTTGCCAGTTCATTTTTGCAGCCAACTTAGACATTTAGCGTCCGTGAACGAACGATTTGTAGATAATGATTTTTGATGTTGCAGGTAATCTAAGCGTCCGCGCATTGTTTATATGACTTAATCAGACGAAGCCGTCTTGTTTAGGAATTATATAGAAGCGATAACTTGCGTCGCCCAGCTCACAAGATAATTCTGTATCAGTTACGTGACCTATACCAAACCTCGAGTAACACATAAAGAAGATTTGAAGTGATTCCCCTGCGCAAGGCTACCTACACATCCAATTATTTAATGCCCCTGCTATTAGTGTAATCACAGCCATCACGATACTCTCCGATTATCTGCCGGTCCGGCGTCCACTTTCCTTATGTGTTTCAAATAACAATTGGCTACTCTGGATGCATAATGAGCATCCTCACTTCTGTTGACTATAACAAGTTTGGGTTGTCGACCTTACGCAACGAGCCAAGTCCATATCATGGAAGTTTTTGATTTTGAGTAATGGTTGTAACGTTCTTGAGAATTGGATTAACCGCAAGCTTCCCTGATCAGAGAGAACGATATTACAAAAAAAAATATTTGCCACACGTTCCCACTAGTTTCATATGAAGGTAGTAATTTAATTGTTACCATTGTAGAGAGCATTAGAATTAAATTTATGCCTATCCCTGGCATTATTCAAAATTTATGTGAACTCTACTTAAACCCCAATTCCCATACATTTTGTATAATCACGTTCGTATATCGATAATTCAAACATAACGTATTTATGTTTTTTTTTTGCATTTAAGTTTAAATTTCTTATGATAAAAAGACTTGAACAGAACATAATTAACGGCCAAGAACGGTAGAACGGCCAAGTATGACAAATTTGTTTAAGATCCCTCCTCGTTTTTTACACACATTCATTATTTGACTAATTATCTTGTGATTATAAGTTATTTATTTTGTCGATTATGTTATAAGCATACACACACACGCAGTCATACAATTGCTCGCGCGCTTCAAAAATAAAAAACACGCACACCAACAAAGATAAACTTAAATGAGTTCATTATTACTTATACCCATATATATAGGCATACACTGACAAACAAAACAGGGGAATGATTAATGAAATAGCGCCAGGGTTAAGAGTGAGGTTGCATTTTATTGCTTTTATTGATGTCGTTGTTTTTGTTGTACATGTTGTTAAATTTCTGTGCGAAACGTGAATAGGCGAAGGGTTCATAGATTGTTTTTTTTTTATGCACTTGAACAAAGAACAACACAGATAAATATCTCAAACTAAAAACAACAAAAACAGCGGGAAAGTCTAACATGTGAAGAAAAAACGCAGAAATGAAAGCCAATAAACATACAACCGAAAATACAAAAAAAATACAAGAGAACAGCCGCTACCGCCTGCCAAAGCAACTTAATCATCTACACAAACACACTAAGCAATCAAACAGGCAAGCAGACAGGTAGACGGACAGACAGATAGACAAAGGAAACGACAAGCAATATAAGCATGCCGGCAAACAGGCTTTATTTGTACTGCAAGAAAACAAACATGCTAACAAACAAACTAAAACCGATTGTTTGACTCATGTAAACGTTTCTCATTTGGAGATGAACTTTATGGTCTAGTACATCCTATCACAACGAAGGTGGTCCAATTTATATGAATTTCTTTAAGTTTTACTTAGTTATTTTTCTTTCAGCTTTTTATATAGTAATTTATTGTTACATTATGGAAAATATTTCTAATTGAAATTTATGAAGAAAAGCTCCAAGCGTGTATGCAAATTAAAATTTATTTAACCTCAAATGGAAATAAAATAAGTTAATTCCATTCCATTATATTCCACCACTTTTAACACAAAAAGCATCCGCCTGAGTAGCCGAAGGCGAGGAATCTCGACTAGCAAGTCAATGGTCGTGGGTTCGAATCTAAAGTGCGGTAGAGTTAGATGCTAGTGCTTTTAAGAGTTTAGTCTTAGAATTTATTTCTCTGGCGAAATTAATAATAATAATAATAACTTAAAAAGAATCAAAAGAATAAAATTTTGATACTTTCTAAGGTTGTTTCAAATTTGGCAGAAACATTGGAAGTTCTTGCACGCGAAAACGGGTCGAATGCACTGAAAACACTTCTGTTTTCCAAAAGAAATAAAAAACTGGTTTTGTGCTCATTACTTAGAAACTACAGCTGATAAATGTACAAAAATCTTAAAGCATATTCTATGGGCCATGCTGTAACATTTGCGAACAAAACTGTAAAAAATTGACCACGCCTACCCAATATTATAGTGTATAAAAATTAAATTATTCTTGCAACGTCTTTATAACGCACATAAAAAAGTTTCAAAAACCCCATAAAGTACAAATTGGAATGCATCTAAACATGCCCGTCGATTCGTCTGTTCATCTGTCTGTCTACGCAACTGCATAGTATCTGTGGTAAACATTCCCCCGTTATTGAAAATGAAGATATCGCATATAAATTTGCAAAAGAATTTTTAATTGACCTAAACATTTCAAAGGCCACGCCTGCAACGAGCCCATACGACAACTACTTTTTTCTTGAAATACTTTTATTGAAG